TAGAGTGGGTTACACTGGATTTGTATTTATGTAGTGCCCAGTAGCAGAGTGCATGCTGCTAAGTTATTACAAGGTTACAATAATTCACAACTAATTAACTATATTAAAAACAAACATAAACTATGCAATGTGGAATCAATGCTTAAAATCTTTAGAAAATCAAACTTTTCCAAACTTTAGACTTTGTACTCACTTTCAGCCCTACACTGGCCCAGAGTTACAAATTACTAGCAAAATTGCTAACCTGTATTTTCTTTTATATTGGTTTTTCCTTTGTTGGTTTTGTAACAGAAACACCTTTAGGAATCTTGTAACCATAGAGCTCAGTCAGAGCTCAGTGTTCAGCATCTCATGCAGCTATATTTCAAATCATTCATTATTTACTCATAGACTATAAAAACATTCATGAGTATACCACTATAATTTGATGATACATATACAATCATTTCTTAGATTCTTTAATAATTTATATGTGAGTAATAAATTTGGGCTAAAATAGAGAACAAACCTTGAAGGGCTTCTTTGATGAATTATTCAGAAATAAATAATAAAGTTTATAAGTCTTAATACCAAACAAAATGTTTCTATTGCTTTAACTGGGTAAGTTGATACATAACCAATAATTTCAAGAAAGTATCCAAAATTTGAAATTAAGAACAAGAATTTCCTTTTCTTTGGTAAAATAGAAAAAAATTTGGCAAACAAAATAATTTCAAAGAGTTAATTTTTCAAGCTCATAGGAAATAAATTATATTTAGCTTAAAGTGTCTATTATTGTTTCAATTAAAGTGCCTTCTTCACTTTTCTCTATGTGTGTGTGCGTGTGTGTGTGTGTGTACAACACACAAAATATGTTCAGGACAATAAAATTAATCCCCCATTAATAAAACTCACTGAAAACACAAGAAACGACAACAAAAACTCCTTCAAACAAGTTCACCAAAATGAAAGATGCTTGATTACTCTTTCTCCTGATGCATCTGTAAATGAATAAAGGTTATCCTCATGAAGTCTGCCTTGAGAAAGACATCTTTAGTTTATGCCATGCAGGACCAATTTTTAACCACCTCTGAAAGAACCTTACCCACAGTGAGGATTTCATGTGAAAATGTCACTCCACAGCTGGATAACACCAGTTATATAGGTGACAGTAATCACTGAGTTGGGAGCTATCTTAAGATGCTCTTATTATTTGGTGATGAGGTCAGTAAAAAGGTCAAAATTTGAAAGTAAAACAAGAAAATAAATAACTAAAACTGGGAAAAATAATGAGTAATCCACACAAAAATGTAGTTTATAATTATGTCACTGATGAGATTAGTGTTCTCCCAATCAAATAAAGTCTTTTTTCTCCCCCCAAAACCAATAATCTACTCAACTGTGTGGTGATATACAAATTAACTGCTGTTTGATATAACAAAAATTTTCTGCGTGGATTCTAGAAAAAAGGAAAGTTAGTTGGTAATAACTTAGTGTTAAGTTTATACTGTCCAAAGCAAGGTAGAGAATGATAATTCTTTAAAATCAATGATTTAGACAGAGCACTTGTATGGTAGAGAGCTTAATCAGCCAACCGAATGTCATAAAAATATCCCTTATGAATATGAAACAAGATTTCCTTTGATACTATTCTCACCATGAAATCACCTGATCTATAATTCAACATTTAGTGGATCAATACCATGAGGTATTTCTCCTATAATTGAGATTCGGGTTTACAAATCATTCTTGTATGAGTTTGGTAAATATGTTGGAGCCCTCCCAGATCATAGTCACCTACAGGTGAATTAGAAAAACACAGTTTCTAAAATAGCAAAGCTGAAGATAAGACCTTGAGATGAGGTCCTAACTTCCCTTCTTAATGTAACTTTTAAACTCCAGCACGTAGCAGTTATCTTTCAATAGGCTTAATGATTTATTTAATTTAACAAAGAGATCTCCCTCTAAACAAAGCTTTCAAATTTTTTGAAGTTAACCACAGTAATAAGAAAACGCCTGTCAATCCATGAGTGGATTATCAAAATTTGGTATATGTTTACAATGGAATATTACTCAATCATAAGAAACGACAGTGATCTAGCACCTC